AAACGAGGGGCTGTGACAAACTGTTTCGTCGGAGTTTCACCGACTCATATATATATTGTCACATAACTACAAACTAAAAGAGCGCACTTTGCGGAACAAAGAATAAAAGCAAAAAACGGGCATGGTGATAACATGCAAAAATAAAAATAAAAACAAAAAGAAAAAACAAGGGCAGATTGAAACCATTAAATTTCTCATTCTTCTTTGAACTCCACCTCCACTGTGCCTCTCACGTGCAAGGCTCGCCACGTTGATATATTTGACGATATATATATATATTATATATATATAGTCAAACAAAGCTGCCCGGTAAACCGTAGGCAGAGAGGGAGAAGAGGACAACAAACGAGGGGCTGTGGCAAACTGTTTCGACAGAGTTTCACCGACTCATCAGGAGGCTGAACCCTCAACAGTCTGCAGTATCCCCTAACTGATTACACAATTTACACTGTAAGTGATAATCCACCTTAACCCCGGCTGTGGTTAAGCATCAACGCCTGCCCGACAACTGATACCCTGAGGTGGGCACCAACCACTGCCCTCTCAAGGTACCTGTGGCAAAAGTCAAAGCAGACTATCACTCACCCACACCAGATGGAAAACTCTACAGACTGTCTGTTCACACCCCATCACAAGCAAGCAAAACACCCACGAAATGTCACACTGTGAATCAGAGCGCGAAGGCAAAAAAAAGCAAAACAAGGAAAGGAAAAAGGAAGGAAAGGCCCACCTGTTCATCACCTCTTACGTACAAGGCCAGCCACGTGGATGACAGGTTGACCGCTGGCTGCCGCCTTTGCCGTCCGGTTCTGACAAGTTTTAGCCTAGTCCCGAACTTTTAGGAGGCCGGGCCCGACAACGGCTGCCGTTGATAAATCTGATCGGTGGCCGTCGTTTCGTTTCGGTCTCCTGAAAGGTCGGAGGCTCACTATTTTCCGAACTGACAAAGGTACTAGCGTTTAAAGAAAACAACTTTCAATTAAAGCCGGGAAACGGGCCCAGCATCCCTCACATGAATGCTGCAGCCATACAAGGCTGAGAAATGCACTTCCAGCCAATCCCATCCCCGACCGCAGCCGTCCAGCTGCCCATACTAATTTGATCTCCAGAGACTTTGAAAATTCCCATGGACCAAAGTAGACAGGCAGTTGCTTATGACTTATACCCTCTTCTAAGGGGAAGTCATAGCTTTGATGCAAAATAGGTCACTTTTCAAACCGAGAAGGTCGCTTGTGATTGTTTGGCTTGCTCAATTATCCGTTGTTGAGCTTCCTTAATATTCCTTAATATTATCCTCAACCTTTTGGATATCTTGCTCATATAGTACTGCGAATCTCTGATTCCGAGTGATAACCTTCATATTTGATCCTTCGTCAAGGACTCCATACATCTCTTAGGTTGCCATCCTTTATGCAGTGCGTTTGGTGTTATGCTCATGACAGTGCGAACTCTCATATGCACATGCAAATGTTTGGTAGGTTCTCGTCCCTGGCAATTTGATCACATCTGCCATGGCAATGCCCCCTCAAGTGGAGTGTCACAGCAGAGTTCTACCCTTCGAACGGATCCGACATGCATCCCTCCCTTGATGCGAGCTTGGTTCATGCCAACGCACCTGTTGCTGCACTTACACTTACTAGCTTCAGTAGCTTGCTGCTGCTACATTCGGCCAGCCACTGCTAGACGAGCTGGTCACATCGGCCGTGATGAATGGCGGACTGATCTCATCTACGGCGTCCGGGGCTTCTTACAGCTGCTGTAACACCAGTCGATCCCTCCTACTTCCCAAATTCCTTCATGAGACAATTCAAGAATGTGTTGTCCATACCTTCCCCTCCCAAAAACTTATCCCCGTCGATCCCCTTCACCCCGAAAACGCCGCCCAATACCTCCTGATAGGATTAGCGAATGTGCCACCGCCAAGATCGAATACCACCATCAAACTGGCCCCCTTCCTGTCTATGCCATAGGCAACCGGCGCCACCATCGGCTAATCAATGATGCAAGCGACCTCCAGACCAGCGATGCATCCAGCGCCCTTCTCCCTAAGGTCAAATGCACAATCTCCTGCTCACGTGGCATCTTAGTCATACCCCCAACCAATACCAACAGTGACGACCCATGAGTTCTCTTGATCGACATCATAGGCTTACTCGTGGCAGCACATAACTATCTCGCTGCTATGGCGTAGGACCTACCCCGATAGTATGCGGCAAAATGATAAGATTCCTTCCAACACAGAATGCAACCGAGACTTACTTTGCCGGCGGTGCAGCGCTCCTTGTAGCACTGCGTCGCCGCTGCCCATCACTCGAACATCCAGAAATGCAAGCGTACTTGGTCACTGGATTGCTAAGCCCAATATATCAAACAGGAAAAAGGAAAATAATTGGAAGAAAGCAGTGGACAGAAGGGAAAAGGGAAGGGGGAGAAGGTAATTGGCAGTGGGGTCCACAGTGTCAGATGACATTTTTTCTAGATGAAACTTCATGAAAGGTTGAAAACACAAATGGGCTTGCAAATCACCTTGGGTTGTAAGAGTGAACCGTCAAAATAACATCAGCATATTCAGAAATGAATTGATGAATGCATGGAGAGGAACCTGAGATTTTAGGGTTATATTCTTCAGTTTGAGTTTTTCTACCAATGCATCCTTTCCTCGCAATTTATCCTCCAAATACCTGCAGTTTGTAGTTCAACACAGAAAATGGACAAGGATCATCACTTTATGAATTTTTTTATTATTATAATTTTTATTTATATCGTCATCTATCAACTAGAAGAGTGCACTTCGCTAAACAAATCATAAAAATTATAAAATATACAAGACAAGCATGAAGAACACACCGAAACCGTTCTTTGCCTCTTCACTTGCAGTTCTTCCTTTTCTTTCCTTACAGTTGCCGCTTTGATGATTTCTCCTTTTAGCTCCCATCCTATAGTGCCTCTCCTGTACAGGGCTCACCATGTTCATGAAGTTGAGTGCGAGATGCCTACATCCCCCTGTGCCATAATGACCCACTTGTGCGCTGTGAGAAAGAGGCTGAGTAAACGAAGATGGGATAAATAGCGAGAAAAGATGGAAAGAAGACAATGGAAGTGAAGGGATTTCACATTTCAGTCATGTACCGAATCCCGGTCCCAAAGTCCCCAAAGGTCCCAGTCCCATGAAAATTGCCCAACCGGCAAGCCCAGTGGCCAAACACCGATTCAGGCCCAGTAGGTCCGTAGAGGTGTTAGGTTGTTAGAAGTCTGGTTGGCTCGGTAGCTGACAAGAAAAGCCCAAAGTCCCCATCCAAATTTAGCAGCAGCACCCTGGGAAAGTCTGGTGACTTCCCAAATCCAGCAGGCCTGGAGCCGACAAAGGTAGTTGTCGTGCCTGGACAACAGACTTGTTCATTTGCATGTTGTGGAAGTGATGGTGTGCGCCTGTGCGACGGTCGAGGTGACTGGGCGCGCATGCTGAAGGAGAGGCCGGGCGTTGAGGCACCATAGCTAGGACTAGCAAAGGAAGAGGAAGACACCATAGCCATTAAGGTTAAGTGTCAAGTGCACTTAGAGAATAAGAGTGAGCGACCCCAAGCAAGAGAGAGAAGGGAGGGATAGTGAGGCACAGACCGAGAGTGGTACATACAAAGAGAGAGAGAGAGAGAGAGAGAGAGAGAGAGAGAGAGAGAGAGAGAGAGAGCATTTAGAGAGTAAGAGTGAGCGACCCCAAGCAAGAGAGAAGCGAGGGATAGTGGCTGTCGTGCTCACTTTCCATAATGGAAAGTGAGCTCTGCTTTGTCGAGCTCTGGGCCTGGTTGGACGAGTTTCCAGTTGCTTCCAGTCGGGCCCCAGTGTCCGCGCCCAGGCCCCCAGTTGCTTTTACGGGCCTGGGCCCTTCACAGTTGGGCACGCCCAGGCAGCCCATGAGGCTACAAGTGTTCGTCGCGATCTCTGGTGGCCAGTGTGTGACGAAAATGCTGCATTCTCAGTGGCTCGCAGCCGTTCTGTGATGTGTCGGCGTCTGGTGGCTCACGCCCAGGGCCTCAACTGTACGTCCCCTGGGCTCAATTGCCTCTCAAGCTGCTGCTCCCGGAAGAAGCCAGGGAAAGGCTCACGTTACCCTGTAACCAACTGGTGTGCTGCAACTGTCTGATACCCCACAATGTCATGCAGAATTTGACGAAAAATAGGCCTCTAGGAAATATTATGGCCGGCCTTCCCTTAGGGCGGGCACAAGTCTGTACGGGGCCTCAGTCCAGATGTGGGGTGAGCCCTAGAAAGGCCACTGTGAAGAGTCAGGCCCGCATATAGATTCCAACAGCCCTTTTAGCATGATCACACTGGCCTGTACCCAGGCCTTGGCGCGTATTGGCAGGCCCGCCTTCACTTAGGGCGGGCAAGGGCTTTTCCTGCACTGCTGAGGGCTCAAATCCTCGCATTTTCCATTTCTTTTTTTTCCTTTTTCCCTGGATGTGATTGCTGCTAGATTCATTGAGTTTAGGGCCTCGTCCCACCACTCACCAAATATGCAAAATGAGAATGAAGCTTCTGCTGAAACATGGAAGTTTACACCAGCATAGTTTTGGTCTTTTGTACATTTGGTGAGTGGCGCGGCGAGGTCCTTTAGACTGTATTTGTTGTCATGTTCAGTCATGTACATTTAGGAAGGTGATAGTGTGACTATGCCCTGAATGGACTAAAGGAGGCTGTATTTGTTGTCATGTTCAGTCATATACATATAGGAAGGTGGTAGTGTAATTATGCCCTAAATGGACTAAAGGCATACGGGCCAGGTTTGCCCGTAATTGCAGTCAGGACTTGGCTGGGTTTTTTTTTTTTTTTTTTTAATGGGTGGCATTGGTTTTTTTTGTTCCTGGGGGGGTACGTTTGTGCCAGCCGGCCCACATGCCGTCACCCACGTAGGGAAGACACATGACTGTCACTCACCCCTCCTTGACGGTTCATGGGCGCACCACTCGGCCGCCTGGGCTGGGCCTTTTTTCTGGGGAGGCTGGCATTGTTTCTGTTTTTGGGGGGGGACCTTTTTACCACACGGTCATGTACCATCGCCCGCATACGCCGCTGTTTACCACTGGCCCACGTGGTACCATTCACTCCGCATACTATGGTGTGCTGTGTGTGGTACCTCCTGCGATATGTTTTTCTTTTCCCCCTCGTGGTCCCTGCCATGTCTGACGCGGGCATCCCGTTGTTGTTACAAGAATTTTCCATGTGTGCTGGTTGTACGTTGACATACAAACATACCTTATGACCTTTTCGGCCTTGATCTTGCCTGTCCGATAGTTCTCGGCGCCAATTATGACGTCTCGTTTAAATTCGTATGTTTCTTTTTTGGTTTCCGCCATCCTGACATCTGCATCCTCCATAGCAGAGCTCAGATTATCAAGAAACATATCACAATCAGCCTTGACCTTCTCTGTCTCATCACGCAGCACATCAAGCTCCGCACAAGCAATGTCAAACTTCTCATCGGTGGTCATTCTCCTCTCCACCCTCTTCACATCATCGCCTGCCCCCCTAAGTTTTCTCAGCATACGTTTCCTGGTTTTTGGTTCCTCGTCCTCAGCAAGGAGAGTTGATGGACTCACTCGCTTCTCAAAACCAAGGTGCGGCACAGCAGTCAAAAGAGTGGGGGGTTATATGAGTCCAAGCCAAATTCAATCAAGGGGGGTTTATGAGTTCAAGCCAAATCCAACTGAGGGTGGTGATAAGTTCAAGCCAAATCCAATCAAGGAGGATGGAGCAGAAGACAAAGCCAGAGGAAGGGAGGCGAAAGTGAAGGAGAGAAGACAGAAGAAAGAAGGAAGAGGAAAGAAAAAAGAAGAAAGAAGGCAAGAGAAGAGACACGAGAGAGAAGAAGGGAAACGAGAAAGAGGAGGGGGAACAAGAAGAGACAAGGCTGAACAATGAGGACAGACATGGTGGAGAAAGCGAAGTCAAGGGGATGAACAGGAGGGGGAGAGAGAGAGAGAGAGAGAGAGAGAGAGAGAGAGAGAGAGAGAGAGAGAGAGAGAGAGAGAGAGAGAGACGGGGAGAGGGGGAGAGGGGAAGATCAGAGAATGGAATAGGTGGAATGAAAGTCCCTAAGTGTGAGTGAGTGCATCCCCAAATCTTCTCAAACTTCGTTTTCCTTCACTACTGTCTCTACGGGGAGGGTTAAGAGTGGTAACCGTAAATTAAAAACAGAGAGCTTTCAAAGATTCAGGGCATACTCACACTAGGACTTCATCTTTGCAGCCCTGAGACCTGATTGCAGTAGAATTCGTCCAGGTATGGCCATAATTGCAGTCATTATAGATTCAGAATAGCGGTAGTGTATGTCATTAGCGATTTACAGTTTTTAGCTTTTTCACCTTTTCAAGACTTGGGTGTCTGTATAGAAGAGCTCAATACATTCTCGATTTCAAGTTCATCCGGGGTTTAAGGTTTCTAATTTCGTCTTAGGGATTGCTTTCTTTTGGATTTACAGTTCAGAGGACATAGGTGTTTTAGGTTTGTCTCATGTAATGGGCTACAGGTTTTGCAGGTTTAGTGGTTTGGGATTTAGTGTTCCAGGGATTTGGGACTACAGGAGTGAAGAGTTTAAGCATTCTGAAGGGGGTTAGGGTTTTGGAGGAATTAGGGTTTTAGGAGGGGCAAGGGGGAGCGGGGGGAGAGAGGGGGGGGGAAGGGGCAGCAGGGAGTAAACCCTCTCATGATTAGACGTTTACAATCCAATCCATATATCCGCCAATTTCAAATTGTACTTTCAATTTGGTTTTATAAACCTTTTATTATACTTTCGATTCGGTTTTATGAACCTTTTTTCATTTCCATATTGACCTACCGTGAATGCAGCCTGTAGTTTGCATGTGCCCGGAAGATGAACGAGGCATTACCAGCCAGGATCAAAAGCAGGACCACTGCTGTTGCACCAAAAATAAAAGAAACGCTAAAACCAAATCCAAAGACCTGCGAAAACCATACTGCATTCCTACAGTTCAGATCACAGGAGAACTAAAATGGCCAACAGTTGTACTCACGAAAACCTTTAACCTGGGGTCAGGTCCCACTTGTACTGGATTAGGTGAGGCCGCCGATGGGGAGGCCCCGCTACTGCAAAGACCGAGCAGTTTGCCAGTAGCTATGCCGCCTACCTAACTTCCTCCACCCTCATCGAGTAACAGCAGTGTCTAAGGCCAACACTCTCCCACACACCACACAGAATCCACACAGGCATACCTGTGATGGCCAATACCGGACCAGCTGAGCTAGGTCGCTTGCTCATAAGACCAATTTTCTCTTCGCAGATCATAAAAAATAGTTAACAAATAAAAAATGCACCAGTGCTATTTCACTAATTAGGAAGGCAACTGATCCTCAGAAACCAGTGTTCTTGACATTATCAACATAATCCATGTGGCTTCATCCTCATTCATCCTCTACCATGATCGTCTGCCCTTACGAAGATTCTACCAGGGAGAGTCAACCACCTCTCATGGCCAAAAAAAAAAAAAAAAAAAAGTTAAAAATTTTAAAAAACCTCTCTTTATTTTGGGTTGTTCGGTAAAACTGTTTGTGTTTTTTGTTTCTGTTGGAGTGTGTGCTGCCATGTTCGCTATACACAATTCCACAGAAAAGGGGGGGAAAAGCATGACTGTACCACCCCGTTTCACCAACTGATCAGGAGGTCGAACCCTGAAGTGTATGTGATGTCATGTCCGCATACACAACTCCAGAAAAAGAAGTATGACTATGCCAGACTGTTTCACAGACTCATCAGGAGGTCGAAGCCCGACAGTCTGCCCGGGATGCGTTTGACTGACAGATAACGAGTATTAAAGACTCACCATGTCGCACAGAGTTGGCGATACCTCTGCGAAAAGTGGTCATCTTACTCACACCAGCCGTGCAATCGTAGCAGACGGTCAGTCCAAAGTTCTCCAAACCCCTGACAAGAACGGCAGTAAATCTGAGAAACGAATCTGTCACAGCCATAACACTGCGAGTACGGGTGTCTTTGCGCCATAGGAGGCTGATCCCCGACACTGTGTGTGTGTTATGTTTCTATTGCGTGGCTTCTGCGACCGCATCGCAGCATGCTGCACCGGAAGGTGTGCTTATAAACAGAACCGCGAAAGAGCCCGCAGCCCGGGATGCCCATAGAAAAGAATGCTTATAATGCCCAGCTTGCAAAAGCCATGAAACAAACAGAAAAACATAAACAAAAACCAAACCAACCAGCGGTACGACAAGTACAACAAGGCAAACGAAATGGGAAGGGTAAGGTCAAGATGCAACATGGTACTTGGACGACAAGCCGCAGCAAAGAACAAAGAGTGGAGGGCATGGGGGAGGCGGGCGGGCAGACAAACAGCACTAGGCAAAAGGAGGAGGTGGCAACAACAAGTCAAGAAGTAGCACTAGGGCAGTGAAGCAACAGCACAGAACGCAGGCTGGAGGGCATGGGGGAGGCGGGTGGGCAGACAAACAACGGAAGTCAAGAAGCAGCAAGGCAACAAGACAACAAGGCAGACAAAAGAGCAAGTAGCAAAAGAACGCAAAGCGAAAAAAATAAAACTGATGATAAATTGTTTTGTCAGAGTTGCACCGACTCATCAGGAGGCTGAGCCCTCGACAATCTGCGGAATCTCCCTATTGGATTGTTTGGATCATGAACCCTTTGACCCCTTTTGAAGGCAGACTGTCCCCAACCAAAACATAGCAGCGGGCAGCAACCCTGCGGAGCACCAGGCAACACAGTAGAGGCAACATGGCTGCACAACGCCAAAAACGACTGCAAGGAAAGACATCGCATGCAGGACATGCAGCGCGGCAATCATGTAGTGAAGCACAACGCAACACAAGCAAGGCAACCACACTGCAAGGGACAACAGGGCGAGCGGACCAGCAGCTCGGCAACCGTGCAGCGAAGCACAAGGCACCAGCAACAAGGCAACCAACCTACAAGGCACACAAGCCGCAAACACGGAAGGCACGACCAGCGGATGGGCAGCAAGGCAGCGGAGCAGCGAAGCACAAGGCAACACCAACAACATGGCCACACCACCAACATGGCCACACCACACAGCGAACACATCAACTTGCAGAGAATCACATGCGAAGCAAGCGGGACAGGCAGCAAGGCAGCGGCAGAGCGCAGACGAGGCAGTCCACACATCCAACACGGAGAAAAGCAGCACATGACCTACTCACATCACGGTTGAACCCGGCAGACTGTTGGTTCCCACCACCCACTGAGCCATGAGACACTCCGACGAGCATCCATCATCACTCACAGGCAACAGAGACATCCCGAGCGGAGCGCCCCCTCTAAGAGTGCTGTAGGCACTCTAGACAAGGAATAACCGACTGTTTGGCACTACTTAAAGGTGCTCAGTTGGGCATACAGAGAAGAAAAATTCAGAGAGAGAGCAAACGACAGGAGGAAGACAAATATACATAAAACTGATTGCATGTGTGTGTGTGTGTGTGTGTGTGTGTGTGTGAGAGAGAGAGAGAGAGAGCGTTACCAGCAGGGCCGGTGCAGGTTGGCGAGTGCCGGCGTGTGTGTGTCTGTGTGTGTGAGACACAGAGAGAGAGAGAGAGAGAGAGAGAGAGAGAGAGAGAGAGAGAGAGAGAGAGAGAGAGAGATTCTGGCATAAGAGATTACTGACATCAACCAGAATGTTGTCGAGGGTGCCTCTACACACAACCGATCATGCAGGTTTTTTTTTTCACCCCTTTGTTTTTCCAAGCTGTCACTAAGGAAGAACCCTCCATCTTTGCTTTTTATCTTAGTGGTTGGAGGGGGAAGGAAAACATAATCTGCCTTGTGATACCCCTACAAATGCAGAAAACGGATCGTCAAAAGCCCCCCCATGATTAAATAAAAAAGAAGCCATATTGTGATCATCATCCCATGTAGTAATCTATTAATTAACATAATAGTTAATTAACATTATTATAACCAAATACTCCTACTACTAGTAATAATACAAGGTGTTACCTACCATTAGGTAGGCCTCGAGCAGCCTGTTCTCCTTAGAAAGAGACTCGTTGAATTTGAGAACCTGCTCAAGGTATGCCTCTTTGTCTGTCATCTCCCACACATTCACAATGCCACTGGGGACCGGAGCCGCAACAGGCAGCGCCGGCATCGCAGGCGATGCCATTGTCAGCTGCGAAAAATCCTCCTCCATGATTAATAGCTTGCAGAGGCAGTCAACGCAAACCCTAGGAGCAAGAAGATGGGCGACAGTTGACAAGGGGTGGCGGCAAGTGTAGCGGGGGGATTACTTGTCGCACGCACCACCTCAAAGCCAGAGCGATCACCTTTGTGACACGGTGAGTGGGCGACACCAGCTACAAGAAGCTGGGCTATAGTAGAAGAAGCTGGGCGATAGTAGACAGGGCACGGGCGACACTACTTAGCGACAAGGGTAGGGGTAGGGGGGTGATACGCACCACCTCAAAGTCAGAGCCATCACTGATATGACGCGCGGGGCGTGCGCGACACTAGCAATAAGAAGCTGGGCGACAATAGACACGGTGTCGCGTGCACCACCTAAAAGCCAGAGCGATCACCGATATAACCCGGGGCGTGCGCGACACTACGTCGCGACAAGAAGCTGGGGGACAGTAGACGCGGGGCATGGGCGACACTCCATAGCGACAAAGAAGCTGTGCGACGGTAGACAGGTGGCATGGGGGACGCTACAACAAGAACCTGGACGACAGTAGACAGGGAGACTGGGCGACAATACCCGGTAGCGACAAGAATCTATAACTACAATCACAATGACTAACAACACCTAGCAATTGTATTAAGCCCCCTTATCACAATTCTCTTCCTGTTCCTAGGAAGTTTCTCTCGAAAATACCAAGGAAGTTTCTCTCGAAAGTACCAGGAATGTTTCTACGAGGAGATTCCTAAAGATGTTCTTGCGAGCCTATGTCTGGCCGGGCATGCTTGTCGTTCGTTACCTCCCACATTAGCGCAGTCAATCCATCAATCAATCAATCAATCAATCAATCAATCAACCAATCAATCAATTAATCAATTAATCAATCAATCAAACAAACAATCGGATGAACGATCAATCAATCACCCAATCAATCACCCGACGGTCGCCGGACTAATGACGGAGAACCTCCGTCTTCTCTTGTCGTGCTCCTGCGCGAGCATACAGCAATAGAAAACCAATAAACATTTAGAGTCCTCACAGCTTCTTCAACGAATCAAAACAGCCCGCCAAGACCACACCATTTTCACACCTATTTGCATGGCGGGGCTATGGCGGATTTCCCTGCCGTCTTTCCCAGAATAGAACCCCTGGTCACTTTGGCTATATTTGAGACAACTTCCAGTCTGGATACAGCGATAATGACCTTGCGCTCTATTCGTGGGAAAACGGTAGCCCGCTGAGTATACCAATCGGTAAGGTGGATTCCTTAGTCCGCTGGCGTGGGCGACGGCTATGGAAGGTCCCCTTGGTAAAGTTTCCGTGGCTATAGCGGCGGCTATGGCGGCGGCTATGGCTATGGCTATGGCGGTCAATGAGGAGTTGGACAAGACACCTTGCACCGAAGGGAAATACAACCCCCTAATGCTAAAACAAAGAAAGGGCTCCTTCGCTATGGCGGAAGCGGCGATCACACAGCATAGGCTACCGATTGCTTCTGCCCAGCTGCCTATGAAAGGCACACAACAGTCGGTCTCATCATCGGGTCTCGTTCCACAGCACTGGCAAGCACTCGAAACCGAAAAATGTGCTGCGTTCCACCACACCCTAATGACGGCCGTGAGCACACAACAGAACTGCACACTGAGGGCATACTCACACGAGAACCTGAAGTCCCAATTTTTTCCGGCATTTGGTACCACGAATACTGCACACTGAGGGCATTACGTCACACGGTTATCCAGCGGCCTAGCTCAGTTGGTAAGGCACACGAGTGGCATTCGGGAGGTCTTGGGTTCAATCCCCACTGGCCTCATGCACCTTCCTGGGCAAGCTTGGCGCCCGCCACCTAGAGATATGCCGTCGGTCCTCCCGTGTGGCAGTGAGCAGAGACTGCTGATGTTCATAGGGGGAGGGGACCGGAGGGGAGGCACAGTGGCTGGCCCATCGAAGAAGCTCGGTCCTGATGCTACCGGCTGACCCCTGGCTGGTATCGCCCACCTGCATGGGCTTCATAGAATTAGCCTTTAAAAATAAAAAAATGCCACACGGGTGGACTCTGTTCGCAGCACGTCAGGGTTGCGTTTTATGCCCTAGAGACCTTCAACGTCAATTCAACTTCAACGTCCGTGGTCTTCCAGGAGGGTGGGCAATTTTGAGGTGAGGGCTTAGCAAGGGGCGGGGCATGCGAAGGACCGGTGGCTGCCAGTAGGAGGCTGATGAGGCCATTGGACGTTTCAAAATGGAAACAGCATGGGAGGCCAAGGAGGCCGCGGTCCTTGAGTTTTGAACATTTCAAAATAGAAACGGTGTAGGTCAACTTTTCTCGAATAGACGAATAGAACATGTGCGCGTTGTATTCGAAACCACGTGTGCCCTTTCTATTCGAATTTCAAACAAAAAACTTTGTATTATAATAGAACAATACCTTCTATTTGTTTTTTGGAGGTCAGCCTGCCCTTGTGCTCCCCGCCACTGACATGCTGCACGCTGCAGGGCTCTCTCTCTCTCTCTCTCTCTCTCTCTCTCTCTCTCTCTCTCTCTCTCTCTCTCTCTCTCTCTCT